AACAGCCTCCACACCCAGCCTGAAGATGGGTGCTTCTGACAGCCCATCAGGAAACTAGAGCTTAGAGATGAAGCACTTGTCTAAGGCATATACAGTCAGTCTGACACCAAGACGGGTCAGGTCTTGGTCTGTCCCTTCTCCCTGGGTCTCAGTTCCATTTACTGTCAGGTGAAGGGATGGGCTTACAATTCCACCTGCAGGGAAGAGAAGAAGCTCTGTATAAATCTGCTTTGTGCCCCATGCAACGCTTGCCGGAGGTGCTGAGGCCTGGCTCTAGAATACACAAGCAGTGCCTAATGACAGCCAAGGCCATCTGCATGTCCCATCTCCGCGTCCCTTAGCATGGTCACAGTGCTGCAGGCCCCTCTATGCACCTCTCAGTCCTTTTCACTCTGACACTGATACCCACCCCCTTCCTGAAGTCTCCACTGAGGCCTACACTGAAGCCACACTCCTTGATCCTTCATCCTGAGACAACCTCTCTGCTCAGAGTTCTCCTGTATTTATGCCTTACTCCAGCTTCTCCCACTTCCTCAGCTTTACTCATAGGATCCTGGAAGTCTGGGCATAGTACGCCACCTGACTTCAGTTTCTAGGCCACTGAATGCTCCCTAGATGGCCTCCCACCTCCACTACATGTACCAGGTAGCAAGAGGCCAACAACTAACTGCCCAGCCTGACCTGGTCTCCCGTGCACAGCAGACACACTGCCGACATCCATTCTCACTTGAGCTTCTTCACCAAAAAAAGCTAGCAGAGGACAGCCAGGAACACTGACTCCAAGGTCAAAAGGGCCACAGCGAAGCCCAAGACCACAGACCCTGTCATGACCCCTTAGATGAAGGCTTAAGTGGCTCCTTTTGGAAGGTGGTGGAATCCTTGGGAGACAGGGCCTAGTATAAAGAAAGCAGGTGACTTGGATTTGTCCTCTTTGGGGACACAATGTCTCTTATTCCTTTTGGTCCCCCTTGGCCACATACTTCCACCATGATTTGCTGCTTTGCCTCAGGCCCAAAAGCAACAGAGTCAAGTAACCATAGCCAAAAGATCCCTTTCCTCCTTGTAAGTTATTTCTGTCAAGTAGATTGCCACAGCATATTGTTAACCAGGAAATCTGATTAACATATACTCCTAGAATTTGAACTCAGGGCTGTCTGACTTGAGGCCCATACTCTTCCCACATACCAGGTGCTTCCTTAAACGTTCATTTCCATGTTTTCAAGGTCAGTTAGAATTGGGAGAAACAGAACAAGTCTCACTATTTCTCCATGATATGTCTTCCTATATTAGGTGCAGGACATCCAATGTTTCCAACAGTCCTGTCTCTGTGGACCAGAGACACACAGGACACAGCCACACTACCCCTGCGTGGCCTTGGACTAGAGCTACCTGACCCATCCCTGAACCCACCCTCTCGGGTGGGACTAGGAAGAGAGAAGGGAAGGCAAAGACCCTCTCCATCCCCCCCCTCCCAAGCATCTGGCCAGCAGGTCTGGTAAATATCCTGGCAAAGAGGTGACAATCTTGCCTTGCCAAGATCCTCAACTAGAGAGGAGGTGAGAGATGAACAGCACATGCCCTAGAGGCCCCTTATAATGTGACTCAAATCTCAAACAGCAGATGGCAAAGTGGCAGAGGTACCAGGACCCCTCAGAGGTACCACAGCCTCCTTACATGACGTTCTAGCTGGGGACTGTGGGCCCGGAAGAGGAAAGGCTCTCAGAGTCAACAGGGACAAGGAGAGGGACAGTCACCCTCTCTACAGCTTGGCCCTTAGGATGGGAGCAGTCCAGAGCCCACAGATGCAGAGGTATTCATGACAGAGTTATCACTAGACCGCAGGGGAAGGGAAGCTGATGCAGTGATTTCCACGTCCAGTAATTTCCTCATTTGTCTTGTCAACATCCTTGTCCCATAGAGTGTCAAGTTCATTATGTAAAGATTTTCTGCAACAAAGACACTTAAGCATTGAGTCCGGGAAGCAGCAGGGGCCTGAGTTAATGTCAGGACCTTGGAGCCTCATCATTTACACAGCAAGGCAAAGGTATTTATCTACTAGAATAAACCTAACAGCCACTGTACACACACTGTAGTCAGCACCTGCTTTCTGAGCAAAAGGTAAAGGAAACCTGGGTATCTGTGGGGGCCCAGGGAATCCTCCCACAGCAAGCCTGGGTCAACCCTGTCCTTATCCTACATCTGAACCCCAAGGCACTGGCTTAAAATCTACCAATCCAATGTGAATTTGCTTATTCCAAAGTAGTCAAGAAATGTAAAAATGTCAACCCACCATCGAGCCTAGTCTTGTCAGATGAGCAAGATTTATCAGACTCAGGATAGAAATCTGCCCTGGACCCAGTGCAGGGGCTAGGACACCCACTGGGAAGGTCCCAGAGCAGGGGATTCATCCTAACGGACTGGCTCTGTGTCTCCATTCTATTCCCCAATTTTCACCACAGCCCAAGGCCATGTCCAGATTGCTACTTTCTGTCTATCACGTTTAGATATCAAAAGGCTCATGTGCCAAAGGCACATTTTGGAAGGTATTAGGGTATGGTGGAAACTTTAAGAGATAAAGCCCAGCGGGACATCTTTAGATTACTGGGTGATTGTGACTGTGGGAACCAGATCCCTTCCTCTTCCTCTATTTCACTTCCTGGCCCTGAGATAAGTAGTTGTGCATCATCATTCACTCCCACTGTAATGTGCCACACAGGCCCAAAGCAACAAGATCGATGAAACATGGTCTAAAATTGTGAAGCAAAGCAAACCTCTCCTCTCTGAGCTCATTATCACAGGTGTGTATTATAAAGACAGAAAGCTGAATGACACACTGGCCAGGGCCTCTCTTCTCATAGAGGTCAGGATTTCCCACAGGGACACATGCACCGCCCCGTCTCTAATCTCCATACATCCCTAGCCTTGATCACCTGACTGGGCATTCTCATCTCTGTCATCTTGGCAAAGCAAAATGGGGTAGTAAGGTCCTTGAAAACATATGAGGAGAGGGGGATATTACAGTAAGTCTGTTGTAATCCAAAACTCAAGCCTCATTAACAACATTTTTTTATGTGTGTGAAAATACTGTACAGAGGGGTTACAATTACATGGGCAAGATAATGAGTACATTTCTTATCAAGCATTGTAGCTTCCTCCTTTGTTTCCTCTTCCCATCCCTTCTCAGCCTTCCCCCATCCCCCCACCCAATCCTCTCCGCCTCCCCCCTGCCCCGCACCAAAGTTCTGAAGTTCGTTTTCGACATAACAACTTGTACATCTCATTGTTGCAATGGGTCCACCTGTATCCCTATTTAAACAATTTGTTTTTCCCCTTCCCCTCCACAAATTATACTGACATCAAATACAGCGAAAGCAGGGGTTATACTGTGGGGGTCATTAACAACATTTTTATTCTTTGGTATTTAATTTCTCTAGTGAGGGAGAGTTAATGTTCTTTCTTAACAGAACAAGAATATCAAGAAACATCATAGTGAGGAATTCTTCACTCTGAAAGGGTTTAGGGTCTCACTGAAAAGTTTCTTGGTTCACAGTTTGGAGCAGTGGCCATCAACCAGCAATAACTGTGCTCCCCTACCCACCCCAGGGACATTTGGTAATGTGTGGGGACATTTTGGTGGTCATGACTTGGGGACATGTTAAGCATCTACTGAGTACAGGCTACGGAGGATGCTAAAGATCCTTCAGGACACAGGGGGTTCTTCTCATAAGGAAAAATTGCTCAGGCCAAAGCATGTCCATTGTTGCTATTGAGATAGTCTAGTTTAAAGCCGTAAGAAGATTCCAAAGCTGACCACCAAAAATTTTAAAAAATCCCTGTAAATCTGTTTTGGGGTTTTTGTTTTTTGTGATTTGTTGTTGTTGTCTGCCAGTCCTGGGGCTTGAACTCAGGGCCTGGGCACTGTCCCTGAGCTTCTTTTGCTCAAGGCTAAAACTCTGCCACTTGAGCTACCACACCACTTCTAGCTTTTTCGGTTTATGTGGTGCTAAGGAATTGAACCCAGGGCTTCGTGCATGCTAGGCAAGCACTCTACCACTAAGCCACTTTCCCAGCCTGCCCTGTAAATCTGTGGCTGAAGTCAAGTACCAATGGCTCAAGCCTATAATCCTAGTACTTAGGAAGCTGAAATTGGAGGACTAGGACTAAGGTTTGAGGCCAGCGTGGGCAGAAAATATCAAAACTCTTATCTTCAGCTAACCAGCAAAAAGACAAAATTTGGAAACATGGCTCAAGTGGTAGAGTACTAATAATGAATGAAAAAGCTGGGTGAGAGTTCAAGGCCCTAGTTCAAACCCCAGTACAGACACACATACATCCATGGCTGTGGCCCTGATATTGGCAAACGGCAGCTCCCGGAAGAGCTCATTCCTACCCACCATTCTCAGGGCAGCTCTTGTCCCCAGTGCTTTCAGTACACCTACATTGTAATGTGGCCACCTCATGAGATCAGGTGGGAAACTGCCACTTTTCCAGGACTTAAGCTTGGGTATCTTTGGATAAAGGATGCTTAATCTATGCCAACAACGAGTTTCATTTTGACAATGCTCTCAAGAGTCCTGGATTGTCTATCCACTGACTCTTGTACACATGACAAACATCCAACAAGGTTGGTACTGTGACTCTCCCCATTTCACAGCTGAGGAAACTGAGGTGCAGAGAGGCTAAATAACTTGACCAAAGACAAGCACTCCAAGGCATGAGACAGGAAGGTGGAATGAGGGCAAGATGGATGATGGAAGAGGAAGTGACATCAGATTCAAAACCCATCCGCGACGAATGTCCTCAAACGCGTCGCTCCAGCCCACCAAGGAAGGAAAGCCAGATGCCTACAGTCTGGGAACCAAGGCTCAGAAATGGTAAGGGACAGTGCTAAGGGGGGCAGAGCCGACAGAAGGCCACCATGCTTGAATCCAAGTCCAGAGCTGCCTGGGCCACAACACAAGGACCAGAGAATAGGGCAGGTCCTAGCCAAGGCCACTTACCTGAGAAGATGGAGGCAAGCCTGAAGATGTCGGAGAGGCGTGAGGTCACTGGCTCGTAAGGTGAAGCTTCATAAAACTCCTCACCTGGAAAAGAGATGGGCATCAGACACGGGCTACCCTTGGGCAGTGCACTCCCAGCTCTTGCTAGGCCTGCGAAAGCTCCATTCCTGTTCCTTCCCCAGAGGAAGTAAGAGACTAGGTAGCCTTTCCCAGAGTGCCAAGTGCTGGATGCCAAGTTAGGGATGAAATGTTCAACATTTCACAGGGACAAATAAGTTACCTTTCTCCCAACTAAAGCAGGTAGAATGGCTTGTTCTAAGTGACCTTCCTGCAGGACTAACCCTCTAAGAAGGATTTCTGAAAGTATCTGGAAAGGACAGGAAGGTAGAGCAAGAGTCCACAAAAGTGGACTCTGAAGTCAGAGGACACCTCCTCACCTGCCCTGCCCCCAGCCCCCACCATCATGCAACGCAACTCCCTCATTATACAAGACTGACATGGCCCAGACAGAAGAAGCCACATGTCAGGGGTCACAGAGCTTTCCATGGCAGAGCTGGAGCTAGACTTTGGTGTCCTCGTCCCCATCCTATGCGAGCTTTGCCCAAATCCCTCAGGAGGACAGAATTCCCTCTTTGTTTCCTATGGCCTCACCAGAAGAACCTGGTGCTGAAGGTCACTGAGTCAAGACCTGAACTCTGCTTCCTCTACACAATTCCCTTTCACAGGCTTCCTCTCCTCCTGACCACCTCCACCTCCCCAGACTTTCCTCAGGACTTTGGGGATGCCTAGGAGGTTCACAAATGGACAGGCGAGGAAAATGATAGGAGATAAATGGCAACAGGCTGCCCTGGAGACCACCACGGCCTCGTGGGGAATCCCTCAGCCTTCGCCAATGCCTCTCAGGACAGGAAACAGCCTCAGGAGTCCTGCCCAGGAAGGAGAAATCAATGCACACTCACTCAGACTGTGTGTGTGGTGAGGGGGTGGGGCAGACAGGAGTGACCCACAACCTCCCACATTGATTTCCCATCCAGCAGGGCCCTGCGGCGCTGGCAAGCACCCTGCCCATGGGGAGCTCACATAGGCAATTTCCATGGGGCCATCTAGAGGAAGGCACCTCCCTCCGCTCCCCCCCTCTCCCTGCTCTCCCTCACTCCCACCCCCGCAGGAGGCACTTAGGAAAGCCCTTAGCAGGAGATGCCTTCAGCCAGCCCAAAAGGCCACCCAGAGCCAAGTCTGGAGATGCAGCTAAACCTATGTTGGTTCAGAAAGCAAGCAGTCCAAGGCAGGCATCATTGGCTCACGCCTCTAATCCCAGCTACTCAGGAGGCTGAGATCTGAGAATAATGGTTCAAAGCCAGCCCAAGCAGGAAAGTCCAGGAGACACTTATCTCCAATTAAGCACCAAAAATACTGGAAGGAGAGCTGTGGCTTAATTGGTAGAGCGCTACCCTTGAGCACAAAAGCTCAGGGGCAGCACCCAGGCACTGAGTTCAAGCCCCAGGCCTGGTACTCAAAAAGGGGAGGGAAAGAAGAAGGGAGCAATTCAGCAGCACCAAGCAGACCCCAGGAAGAAGAGACTCACAAGGCCAAAGAAGTACAGCCCATCCCAGTGATAAGGCCTCTGGCTTGCACTACAGCTCAGAGGAGACCCCAGCTGCAGGGCAACACCTTGGGATGCCTGCTGCAAACGGCTGATGACCTCACCCACCCTCCGTCATCTTCATGGCCTCTGCCCAGTCCCTTCTTCCCAAATCTAAAAGAGCTACCTCCAGCCTTCGTGACCTCCCTTCTATCTAGCAGCACTTGGCTCTCCTGAGGGTGGGGCCCCAGCCATTTGGGGCCAAGAATCACCTCTAGGGTGCCTCCTGTGTGCCCACACTCCTGAATGTGATTGAGGCACATTAACTCATTCCATCCTCTCCACTATTATCCTCCATGCACCGACAAGCGGCCCAGGGCACAGAAACATTAAGGAACTTGCCCTCGCTGGTTTTATGTCACACTGTTGGTGGGCAGCAGGCAAAGCCAGGCCTGGAAGCAACCCAGGAAGGTCTCTCCAGAGCCCAGAACACTCTCCAAATCAGGGCCATTCTTGAAACTCTATCAATCTTCAGTAAACACAACTGTCTGTCACTTCCCACAGGACAGGGGTCTGTTGCGTGCTGGACAATATACCCAGGGCAGGGTTCTTCCTTCTGGTCTGCATAGAGCACAACCACAGACAGACCTGAGTGTGACTGACTAACCTCAACCAGGGACCTGGAGCCTCCTCTAACTCCAATCATTTTCATGGTCTTTCTCTGTAGCCACTTAAACCTTACATCCAGGATGTCAGGATTCTTGGGAACTGCACATGCGAAGACTGTTCTTTGTGGTTGACCAATCAGAGCCCCTCAAATATCAACCTGGCACCATAACCTCAGCCACCAGTACCAGTCACACTCTTGTAAATGTGGACTTGGGTAATCACAGAAGGAAACAGGCCCCAGGCCAGAGGGTCATCCCCCAAGACAGTGGGAAGAGACCAGCACACAGCTTCAGGAACCTGAGCGTGAGCCTGGGTTCTGCCATCAGCTTGCTGTGCGTCCTGGGCACACTCTCTACACCTTGGCTTCCCCACCAATTGGAGAGTGGACCCAAGCAATGTCCAGTTCCTTTGTGGTTCCAATTCCAAGAGATCAGTGGCCACTGTTTCAAAGGCCACACATGGCTGCCACCGCTGGTACCTCTTCCTCCCCTGCCACTCTAGATCTGTCCACTGGCAGAAGGGATCAGCTTCAGAGGGGAGGGGAAGGCAAAGCAGAGACCTGGGTGAGTCACACCCACCTATGGAGCCCAGAAATAAAGAATGGAAGGAAAATCCAGTCTACACACATCTCCCCTCTCTCTTTCTCTCTCTCTCTCTCTCTCTCTCTCTCTCTCAGCAGGTCCTGCTCTCCCCTCGCTCCAGGCCCAGCTGGGCTATTATGAGTCATTAAGAAGCAGGAAGGAGGTACCTACAGCCTCTCCAGGGAGACCAATCCACCCCAGTGGTAATAATTAGCTCTTAGGTAGCCCTGCCACTCACAGGGACTGGGCCTGCCATTCAAGGGCCTCCTGGCTTCCCCTCCCCGCCATCAACGCTGGGCAGATCTCTGACCCCCAGACCCAAGAGAAGGTAGAGCCCCTGGGAAGAAGGGATGGGGATGAGCTGGCTGCTGATCTGGTCAGAGGTCAAAGGAAAGCCTCTCAGCCTGTGTGTGACCAGCATGGGGACTGTGGTTTCTGCAGGGTTACATTCCTCTCAAGCACATAGTAGGTGTTCAGTTAACATGAAGAGTAAATTAACAAACCAGCCATCTCAAGGCTCAAAACCACAGACCTTGTAGAGGTACCCAGGCATCAAGGGGCTCTGGAACCCATCACTAAGTGTGCAATTAAGCACACAGGCATCATCACTGCAACTATCTCAAAATGGCGAGCACCTTGTCTCTCCAGACTCCCAACCCTGTCCCTTTGTGCTGATGTGGTCATGCCATAGAAGCTGCCTGAGGTAGCAGGGCTGCTTGTGCTAAAAGATCCAGCAGCAGTTCTTCTGTCCCCTTGTCTGTCCATACGTGGCCCCAACAGCTGCCCACTGTCCTCTGCACTGACCCTGCAGACTCTGGAGAGGAAAACAGGAACCAAAGTGTCTCGCTCAGAATGCCAGAGCTATGAGGACTTGCACATGGGAGGAGGCTCTCAGGGAACAGCTCCTCATCTCGTGTTAAACCAAACACACATGCCTTAGGACAGTATTTTCCCCTCGACTCTTCGAGTTCCAGGAATCGAGGTTGCTAGAGAAGTGGTTGCTTCATAAAGTAATTCCTGTTATTGATGGGAGAAATACTACTAACAAACTATACACACTTCCTGTTCCTACGTCCCTAGAGTATCTGAGCATCTGGTCCTGCTCTTGCTGGACCTGAAGTATGGAAGCTATTGACAAGAAGGATGCACTGCACACCTATTGCCTAGTCCACCTGACTTAGCCCATTCTCCATCGCCCTTGCAGAATGCCTTTCTCCCGCCCATTCTCTCAGGTCGTGGTCCCAAGCCGGGTCTCTATCCCTCCCAATGTGATCACGGGCACTCCTTAGCTGTGATTCCTGAAACACACCCACACTGAAGTCTCTCTCTACACTCATCCCATACCAGAAATCCACCCTGGCCAGTAACTGACAGGAGCTCTCAAATAAACCTATCAGCCTTCTTCTTACAGCCTTCACTGCGGCTTCTGATCAGCCCTGTCACCACCCAGATACCAAGACAGGATGCTGGGGGTCCTCCATCGTCTCTCTCCTACCCTCTTATAGGCCACCTGCCACCAAGACCTGTTGACTCTACCTTCTGGAAAGTGCTGTTCCCTCCTCCTCATTGCTGACAGTATTCCATTCCTGCCACCATTACTCCTGTTCTTCATCCCAATGGTGGCTTCTGACTCATGGCTTCTGGATGATCCTCATAAATGAGTCTCTATTAGAACCACACAAGCATTCTAAAGACAAATATAACCAGCTCACTTTACTCTTGAGGGCTCCCTGCTGTCCATCTCTCCACGTGTGTCCTTCCTCTACCTCCCCACTTTCCCTATAGTTTTTATCTTTTCTAACGCTGACTCGTCCTTCAGTATCAACCTAGAGGCTGCTTCCTCAGTAAGGCCCTTTAGATGTTGTCTCATGAGCCTGGAAGGTGAGGATAGAAGGACCAAGATTTGAGGCCAGCCCAGCAATTCCAGCTAGGAGGGAGATAAAGACAGAGGATAGCAGCACAAGGCCAGCTCTGTCTGAAAAATAACTAAAGCCAAAAGGGCTAGAAGTGGAGCTCAAGGGGTAAGCGTCTGCTTAGCAAGCACAACACCCCAAGTTCAAACCCCAGTCCCTTCATAGAGATGTCATAACAAATGTCTAGAGACCCTTCTGAGATACTACCTTTGAACCTTGCACCTTCTAATCATAGCACTGGCACTGCCAAATGCCAGAATCCTCCCCCCAACCTTACCTGCAACACCCACCAAGCCTATAGCTTTGTGAAGGAGGAGGCTGCCCCAGCTTGTGTCGGCAGACAGCACACTCTCAATCTCTATTGATTTAATAAATAGACATCCAGCCAAATGGCTGGACGTGCAAATCCCCCAAACCCAGAAGTCTGGAGTAGGAAGGGAACACAGGGGTATTGTTGGAAAAGGGGCAATCAGGTTCTGGTTTGGGCAGGCTGAGACAGGCTTGCCAGGGAACATGGGATCTGCTGCCTACATCCTGCCTGGAGGCCTAGAGAAGGTACCTAGGCTTTCCAGAGGGATCTGGAAGCCAGATGCAGAACAGATCCCATTCAATCTAGAGGACATGGTTGGTAGAGGGGCAGGGGCTGGTTTCTCTGGGCATCCAAGCTCTGTGTGCACCTGGCCAGGTCACCCCACAATGGAGTTCTCCATCCTGAGCCCCTGGCCGCCTCACCTGCCCCTCCCCTGGGCTTACCCTCCGTCAGCCCCAGGTGGATACTCCAGTAGATCTGCAGACACTGTAGCTCCTTCTTCATGCCTCGCTTGCAGCGGCAGTCGTACAGCGGGCTCTCCTGCAAGACCTCCAGGGCGGCCTGGCACTCCTTGTTGGCCAGCATGGTGTTCCGATCTCGGCCCGCCAGACACTGTCGAAGTGTGCGGTAGCGGGAACTGCAGTTGGATTCCGCAGCGCACAGCTCATTGGCCCGGACACAGTCCACTGGGGGGCGCCAGCCGTGGAGCTCGGGGCCCTGCGGGGAGGAAGGGCTGGCCAAAGAGCGGAGGGTTTCGTCTGGGTGGTGGGGAGGGAAGACAAGCATGAATGAGGGCCACCACAGTCGCTGCCCCCGAAATGCAGGCCTGGGACTTGGGCCTTTCAGGAAACGCCACACCCACAGTCCACCAAGGCACAGCACAGACAGCTCAGCCCCCGAGGCCAACTCAGGCTGCATGCTTGGCACTCTGTTCCTCCTCCAGCACGAGCCCTGGGCCCAGGGACACGGCACCATGATGCCCACCAGAAGGCCTTGCTGGAGCCTACAGCCTGAATAAGACGCCAGCCATCCAGCACAGAGCTGGGGGCCGGAGGACTGCTAGTGGGTGCAGCTGGGGGGTGGGGGGGCCAGGAGAGACTGGGAATCTTGATTCGATCTCTACCCACCAACTTCTGAACCAGCCTCAGGACCATCCAAAGCTTCTATTGGCTTTGTGGAATCCAGAAAGTCATTGGATTTTTCAGAGCCCGTCTGACCCTTATACAGACCCTCGAGTCTACTTTCCACATCACCTCCTAGGGAAACCAGGCCCAAGCAAGGGAGATGATGGCTCAGAGTCACACCAGAGGCAGGAAATCCCCTCCAGCCCCTAGTCTCCTTGTTCTGAGCTGCCAAGCTAGATGTTCCCAAGGGACAATATGAGACAAGCCTAAGTCTGTGGTCCAGGGCTTCTCAGGAGGGAGGAAAGGCCTCGTTGAGGTCCAGATCCTTCACACTTGCTAGTCCAATTTCACACAAGACAAAGGCCTGAAGCCTCTCCAGCCAGGGCAAGTTCTATCCCAACCCCCTCCAAAAGAAAATACATTAGGAGAAGCAGGTGAGAAACTCCATCTTGGTGTCTGTCTCTCAGCTTCTCTCCTTTACTGCCTCCCAAGGGCTATGTTCTCAACAGATCTCTCTCTCTCTCTCTCTCTCTCTCTCTCTCCCACCCTCCTCCTCCTCTCTTCCCTCCCCATCCCCCTTTCTTTCCTCTGCCCCCACACTCACACTCCCCTGAAATTCTCTCTCCCTCTGTCTCTCTTTCAAAAGCCAAATACCAAATCAATTACAAAAGGAAAAGAGCTTCTCCCTTTCAGGCCCAACCTTACTGCTCCAACACGTTGGACAAGCACCCATCAGCCCACCCACCAGTGTCCTCGGAAGGGAGCAGGAAGGGGACTCGCAGGTGAAGCACAGGAAGAGGCTGGCCGGACCCTCTCAAAGTCACGCTTCCAAAATGGTTTCCTCCAGACGTGGACATCTTCCTGTCTCCCTGTCCTTCGGAAGCCCCTAACTCCAGAACCTGCCTCAAAAAAAAAGCTTCATACCATGGTCAGAACCACAACTGCCTTTTCCAAGTATGATTAGAGAGATGTCCTCCCACCCCAGAACATGATTTTAAAAAAATCCTAGTCCAGTGGTCCCCTCCTTGGAATATTGCAGGATACACACACACACACACACACACACACACACACATCCCTGCCCAGAACCACCAATCTCAGCCTTCTCCCTAGGAGGCCCTGGTCAGGGGGGGAGCTACAGCAAGGAGACAGCGACACCTAGAGGCAGAGAAATGCACAGTCAGTCTGTCACTCCCCAGAACCCCTAGAGAAAAGAAACCTCTCCCACAGGGGACCCAGGGCAAGAAGTCTACCCCATCAGGACACAGCAGAGAAGAGCAAGGAATTGGCTGAAGCTTAAAGAGGCAGAGGAAGGGACAGAACAAAAGACAAGTCTTTCTCCCACTGGCCACATCTCCTCCCTAGAACAGGAAGAGCTGAAGAATGTAGCCACACGAAGTCCAGACCAGAGCAAAATCCCTGCAGAGACAGCCAAGTCTGCCCAGCTACCTGCTGGCTGGCTGGAGACATGTCCTCCACACAAGCTGAGGTGGCATCTTTCTTTTCCAGTTTCAGCAGATTCGCACATCCCTGCACCGGACCAGGCTCCTCTGGGCTACCCAAGAGCAGCTGAGCCAACACTCCCCCACACCCCAGCTTGCACCTGCTGGTCCCTTGCAGCCAGCCAGCCAGCCAGCCAGCCAGCCAGCCCTGCGCTCTCCACTGACTTTGTCCCAGGGCCTGAGGAGATGGTTTTCATTCCACCTGACTGAGCTAGGGGCAGCACTGTCCAGCAGGGTCTGTGCCTGATCCCCTGTATCCTCAGCCCTTTGTAGTGAGGATACTGGGCCATGAAGACATTCACCCTGCCTGTCCTGCATATAGGTGGGACCTAGAGTCTCAGGGGATCGTCTTACACAACCCTGGGCCAAAAGTAAGGGCTTTCTCCCCATCCTGCCTCGTGTCCCCCAGGATGGGACAGGGATTTCGGCTGCCTAGGACTCAGCCTGCCTTTTACCACCTCTCCCTGGTTCTCATATTAGATTTCACAATGTGCAGAGTCAAAGCCAGCCAGGAAAGGGGAATCATGGCAACCCAGAGCCTGTTCCCAAGAATCCTGGGAGAAGAAATGTCAGAAGGTATCTTAGAGGTATTCCCAACCCCGAATTAAAGGAAGCTTGGATCTCCAAGGCAGACAGGTGAGGCAGCTTCTAGAGACACAGGAGATGGAGAAGATGACCCTCTTATACCCAAGATCCCCCAAAAGAGCCAGAATACATACTAGAATACCCACTGAGAAGGAGGCCCTGGGACCAGACCCCCATCCACCTCACAGGTCCCATAGTACTCATTCCTGTAAACCAACGCTGGAGGTCAGGGTGGCTGGCAAAAAGAGGCTTTCCCTCCCAGAAAGAAGTCTTTCAGAGGCCTCCCCTTCACTCAGAACCTTGGGAAGGGCATCCCAAGGCCCTTGCCCTGAAAGCACTCTTCACCACAGTCCAGCCCAAATCGCCTATCAAGTCCCGAGCTCCTGAGACACCTCCAACCAATTCCCACTACAAGATCCTGGCCATGAAAAGGGCTCTGGGCTAAATTTTCCTTCGCGCCATCCCGTGCCATCCTTCTAGCATCTTTGAGTATCCTGTAGTCACTCCTCAGCTAAGCCCTCAGCCCAGTGTTCTTAGGGGCCAGGGAACTGAAGCCAAAGGTTGTATGACTCAAAAGGCCGCCAGCATCTCCTCTTTCCTAATACTGACCCCTCCCCTGCACCACTCAGCCCTCAGATCATAGATAATGGTAGGCATCTCTGCTTCCACCTGAGACACACACTCTTACGCATACAACCACCACAGGCAAGAGCCCAGTGCCACTTTTGGAAAGGAGAGACCATTGGCTCCTTCCTCAGCCACCACAGCCAGGGACATCTTGCCTGCAACATGAGGGTCTGGGCTTGAGAGGGAGAGGCAGGCAGACACACACACACACACACACACACACACACACACACCCTGCCTCTGCCCCTAGAAAGCACTCACAACCTAGAAGCCCTGCCTGGCTGTGTGGCAGGGTGCAGCTCAGCTGCAGGTTGCTTTGCCTGGAATACAATTTTCTTTTTCTGCTTGGCCCTGATCATTCTAAGCCCCAGAAAGCTGTGTTTTCACACTGGCAGCAGGAGAAAAGGTCAGGTTTTATAACAATCCCTTCAGAATAAGAGGCCACCTTCTAGGGGGTTGCAGAATCTCCATAGAGGACCCGGAGCCCCTTCCGACCTCCTGGCTCTGTCCCTTACACCCCAGAGAGAAATTGCCACCGGTTGAGGGAGGCAAGGTGGGGAAAGCCACACCCCAGGGCAGGGCCATACCCTCTAGGATGGAATGCCCAGGAGTGGGAGGGGCAGGAGGACAGCCAGACAGGCCAAGGGCCCTGGATGCAGCCAACAGACTCCCACTGACTTCAGATTCCCTACCTAGCCGCCTCCTAGGCCCCACACATCTGTGACAGTCCCTGCCTTCCCCATCAGGGCCTGACTGCTGAGGAAAGGATGCATGTGCCACCTGCCTAGCAGCTTGGCACACCCCTAGCTACCAGCAAACCACAGTGGCTGCAACAGCACTGGCACTGCTCTACACACAGACACATACACGCGCGCGCGCGCACACACACACACACACTCATACGCACAGTTCCCCAGCTCCCTCCTCTGAGCACCTACTCCCCGGAGCCAGCCTAGCCTGGAACTCTTGGTCAGCACACAGATTAGCAAATGCCTACTTTTCCTCACCTGTACCAGGAAATTGCTGCCTCTATAGAGCTCTGCCCCTCAAGCAGCTGAGATTTCACACAGCAGAGGAGGCGGCAAGGGGGGAGAGGGATTTGCAAATAAATTGATGAGGGGTTCGGGAGCGTGGAGGGAGGGGGCTTACAGAATGAGCAGTGGTCTTTGTTCAGATCTGTTTTCCTGCCTGCCTTACTCCCCCACTTTTCATCCAAAAAAGCAAACTTGGGCCTCTTTTCCTCACCTTCTCCAAGCTACTCACCTCCACCCCCGCCCCCGCCCCAGAAGGTGCGATAGGGGAGGTCTTAAACTTCCGCCCCCACCCCCGCAGCCCTGGCACTTCCCCGCCCACCCATCTGCCTAGGATCCGGTGGAAGGAAGCGCAAAGGATGGAGAGAAACTTGCAAAGTGTTCCAGAGAGTGGGGAGATTGGGGTACAATTGTCCAGAGGTTGATTGGCAGGTGGGGGGAGCGGCTGCCGGGGCTCTTAGATGTCCAACCAGAATCTCCTGCCCGATGCTCCTTGGCGATTGACTCCTGGAAGGAGCCGATCGGAAAAGGGGCGGGGGGGGGGGGACTGGCATGATTTCTCTCCCCTCTCTTCCAGATCAAGAGCTGATTTATTTTTCTGAAGTTGGTGCAAATTGAGCCCATTTTTAAGGGTCTCGCAGGGGTGTGTGTGTGTGTGTGTGTGTGCAGGGGAGCGAGTGATGGATCGGATGTTGTCAGTCTCCTCCCCGCTCCCCTGTGCAGCCAGTCAGCCGTGGCACGGCTCCCCCTGCCCGAGTCCAGGCTGCCGGAGCCGCTCGCTTCGCCGGCGCCCGGGGCCCCCAGTCTCGCCCCGCGGCGCGCGCTCTCCGTGGTCTCCCGCGGAGCCCCCCGCGTGCCCGGCTTCTCGCCGGCGCCCCGTTACGCGCGGCCCCGCGCAGCCCCCAGGCTTACCGCCCGCAGGTACTCACCTAAAAAGAAGAAGAGGCAGAAGGCGTTTGCCAAGATCATGTTAGATAAATCCCAGTTTTGTTTTGTGGCGGTTGCTTTTTTTTTCTGGATGTGTCTCTCTCCCTCGGGTTCAGAAAGCAGAGATATAATCGCAATCTCACCGAGCCGCGACGATCAGCCCCAAATCCAATGCGGAGATCGCCGCCAGCCAGTCCGCCCGGTGAAGCTCCGGAGTCCCGCGATCGTCGCCGGCGGCGGAGGGGGTGGGGTGGGAGGCGGGCGGTGGGCTGCCCCTCGACGCCAGCCGAGCCCACTGAAGCCAAAGGCGCACGTCCCCGAGGTGTCTGGCAGCCTGGGAAAAGCCAGCAGCCCGGTCCTGGGGTCAGCCCTTCCCCCGCCCCTCGATCAGGCCGGCCAAGGCGCGAGTGCCCGCGGGTCCGGCTCCCCGGCGCTGCCCGGCAGGGGGACCGGGGAGATGGCGGGCGGCGAGGAAGCGGCCGGGGAAGGTGGGGGGGGGGCGGGATCGGAATAAATGCAAATAGCAAAGAAAATCCACCGACGGGGAGGGGGGTGGGGGTGTGAGCGCCAAGGAGCAGAATCCAGCCGGGAGCCTCGAGGACGGGAGACGAGAGTCGTTTCCTTCACACCAAGAGGAAGAAGAGATTCCAAAATATATAACCCTCCACCTGTCCCCGCTAACCTTTGCTCCGCTCACTTTTTCTGATGGAATTCCAGGGCCCGGGCGTCTCTGCGAGCCTCTCCCTCTCTCTCCCTCGCTCTCTCCCCCTCGCTCTCTCCCTCCCTCGCTCCCTCTCCCTC